CTTTAAGTCCATTCCTGTTCACGGCCAAATGCTTACTTTCCATTTCGTGGTTTCGCCCGAACGAAGGGACTTAAGACGGCGTTGCGCGCAGCTTCCCTCGCAGACAACACCAAGCTATTTCGCGAATTTCTCTCTACGAATTTTTTGCAATTTGCAAAAAGAAACGTACTTTGCAAAAATCTTGACATACGTACCAACGATATTTCACTAGTTGCACAATATCATCTTTATATTCACTCTATTACCAATTCGATTCCCTTAGTGTCTTGTCTAACGTTCTATATGTCTACAGCGTGAGACCTTTTTCCATCCACAAGCTCCACTTGAAATATCTAGCATTGTTCTGAGGGTAGGATGACCCAGTGTGCAAGTAATACCAAAGAAATACCGTGGGAGTTGGCCACCCTGGATCGTTCAGTCGTGCTACCCGTCTTGCAAGTTATGTACCGAACGTGAGCCAAGAGCACGACCTAGGACAAGCAGTTTTCTCGTGCAGGGAAAATCTACCGTTCGCCATCGAGCGCAACATCCGACCCCTAAATGCTTTTCAGTCGAAGACTCGTTTTCCGATCCCTTTAAACAAATAGCTATATACAACTATACGCACTGCCCTTAGCTCTGTTGGTTCTCTATATAGGTGTATACATCCATAACCCCATACACAAGCGATGAACGATAAACGAATGTTCAACCCTACCTTTTCTTTATCAGGGTAACACGCTCCCTTACGTATGTCATATACTATGATTACCCTATATGACTACCCTACACATATCTGATGACGTATCATTACTTAGGACCACATTCCAACGTACAGTTCTGTACACGGCGATGGCCTCTCTATGCTTACGCAAAGGTAGAAATCGATAACCCTTGTCCAGGGACGGTTTACGGCTCGAATAGGGTGAAATTGGGGTGGCGTTTCACGCTTACACGCCATCCGGCTATTAGACAGTCCAAACGGAATTATTAACTAAATAAGCATCCTCCATACCCGCTACATCCCTTACCCTCTCGGGTGCTTACTATACCGGTGCGACGGGACTGTATCTACTACCTGAATAACACAGAAGGACCGTCTTAAATTACTCGCTCGAATTAACGAGCGTTAGAACCAATTAATATCAACGTGGAAGCAGATGGCTCTTTACTCGTTCCCGTTGGCTCGCTATATAATTCCGGTCTTTTAATTCTATCGAGGTTCCAGTCGACATCTTTTGCAGAAATTACTCCGTTACTCTTTTTCCCTTATTTATTTATTTTTTTTTTTTTCTTCATCGATATACATATGTTGTCTCCGTTTCTTTCACTGTTATACCTGCGGTACGTTTGATTCGCAGTACTACTATATTCACGTCGGTCATTTAACGTGTCCACAAATATATCAACGAGCTTTCTCGTTGGCCTATCGCTGCTCTGCACGCAATCGATGATTTATCGAGGCGACTCATATACATATATATACACATAGGGAATCGTTATTCGCAACACTGTCAATCGCTCGATGAAGCATTAGAAATTATCGAGAGATTCCATACGGATGAACGAGCGTCTGCCGTTCCTCGTTAAAATGCGAATACTTGACTTAACGTAAGCGAATTCGTTAACGGTTAAATAAATACGACGTAGGGTACACGGAAGAGGCAGAGTCGTCGCCAGGAGATGGTGGCCTCCGTCTAGGAAGACGTCAGAATAGGAAATGGATCTGATGGTAGAGCCTCGAGATGACGGTACAGCATCCCACGTGCGTGTATCGACTATAGCTATGTATGGTGAACGTTATTATGACGCTTAAAGAATCTTTCAGGGTGGCGTGACAAGTGGCGAGGAATGATATCGGAGTAGGCAATGATGCGTCAGGTCGAGCAGCTGGCTGTGACGATATTATCGAGTAAGGGTAGGTACAATCAAGACTTTTGCGTTGGAATGAGATATTCCCCATAGGGTTTATATTATATAATAATTCGGAATTACAGCAGAGTAGCGTAGTTGCGCGATAACGGGATATTCTGCGAATGGGAAAGAAACTATTGGACTGGACGAGAATAAATAGATTTATCAAATCTTGTTTCTCTTACCCGAGACGTCGCAGGCTGAATTCGTTTTATCTAATGAAATTTGTGTGCAGGATATGTATATATTTGTCTATACAGTTGTACGTATTATTTTTGTACATATTTACTTCTCTACCTCTGGTTTCCTTCCTACGCATAATTATTATTTACTTATTTTATCATTCCGTCTTAAGATCGCAAAGACGTACGAATCCAATTACCTTTATACGTTGTATCGCTTTCTGATACTCTTGGTTTTCCTTAAGTTTCTTTCCTACCCTTTCTCCGTGATATTTCTTTCGAGATGCTACATTTTTTTTCGCTAATTTTACCATCGAAACGTAATTCGGAGATGGATATTGTATATTTAGGTGTCTTTACGTGTTTTTATTGCATTACTAGGGATAAGCATAAGGGAATACTTTGTTTCTTCTATTTAATGAAATATCCTTTTTATATTATTCGTAGGTTCAGTTTTCAATCAGATCGATACTTTCTTGTCCTGAATTATATTTTAATTTCTTTAACTTTTCGTCTCTACTTCAATCACATTGATTATCGTTTAATCTCATGCGTTGTCACTTTCGTTTGAATGATAAATTTTACGAAAGACTAAAAGCGATTAACGTTCCTCCACACAAATAAATGACATCATTCGGAATATCACTAGTAAACGGACGTACGCATCATTACCCAGTACCCATCATACCATCTTTACCTAGCTCTACAAAAATTCTCATTTTCAAACATGTATCCCGTTCAAGCTTCCTTATCCGCTATTTGAAATTGAAGCGCTTCATCTCCCGTCCGAAAAAGGCTAAGTAATCGTATTCAGAAAGTGACGATAACCCGTAGCACGAACGACGATTTTGCATTATTCGATCGCGCGATAAACCCTTGCGGAAACATTTATGAGATTGCCATTCGGTAGCGGGATCGGCAAACAGGTAGTATAACGAGCGATAAACACAAAGCGTGCACGAAGGTGCTATTAGAAGTCGCAGGATGCGTGCTGCTAATCGGAAGTACTTTTTGCATTTCCCGTTTTCCTTCGTCGTGATTATTGACCTGTCAATATCGGCGACGTTTGTCAGATTGAAATGGCAGATACGTATCGATCTCGTGAGCTGGGTAATTTGTCGCTGGGACACGTGTCACTGTTTGCTTTTGTCAAAATCGATCATGTCTCATTGTCTTCGGAATTCATTTAAACTCGATACCACAATGAGGAACTAAATAAACACAGTTATAATGGCCATATATAAAATATATAAGAACAAAAGACGATCAGTCTGCTAATATTATTGGGCATGAATTGATCCATTCGAGATAAGACATAACATACGTGTAGCGATAGTCATTATTGATAAAAATTTGTCATAGATAAATAATGTCGTCTTTGTCAATTTAATCATAGAAAATTTATTACACGACTGAAGTAACTGATAAAAATAAACTATAGATTCTTGAAAATTATCTTTATTATTAACGAATGGCGTCTGGAGCTTTCAGTCAAGAAAAATTTGGTCATCCGACGAATTTACTCAAAAGTTTTATTTATTAATTGTACATCGATATGTTAAAACGATCACGTTGGTACTGTACATATACTTAATCAAAATTTCCAACGTCATTCCTTTAATAATTCTTGACGTATCCGTAAATAGCCTTACTACCGAATAACGTTGTCACGGGTGAGTATATCAATATATGAAAACCGCAAGGATAACCCGTGAATATTTTTCTCCGTTACTTCATCTTCTGTTTATAATGCAGCTTCGTCTTTTTTCATGTACGAAACAATTCGATTATAGTTAATTAGCTGTGCTAGTGGAATTGACACGAGAAGAAATAATTATTATACGAATAATTCATGCAGTCCGCTGTGTAATTAAAAAATATCGCCTATCATTGTATATCGTTATATATTAATTATTCGCGTCGTTAACTATATCAACTTTACATCTAATTGTCGGGCAACCTGGTCTAACCTTATTCTAACGCGAGTAAAGTTAAAGAGCTGTCCCTTCTATAGTCTGCACGGTGTATCGCGCTACTTAAAACTTGTCGAACTTCTCTTCTTGTCCTCACCTATACATTCCTCTGCTTACTTAGCTCCAGTCAACTTAGTCGGACTTAAGTTAAAGTTTACCTTTGTTTCGTGTCCGCGGATCCAATACTAGCTCGTCACGCCACATAACTTTTAAGCCTAATGATAAGCCATAGGCTCGTATGATACTCGGAAACGTAATAGCACCTGCCTGGAATGACGTAGATAGTCATCTAGATGTTTGCTTCGCCTACAATTAATAAATGTACCTTGTACTCAAAATGTACTTAGAGAATTTATTTTTTGAAAATCAATACATTATCCTGACGATGACCATTTGGCATTCTTGAAAAGTCAATACTTAACCCTATAGCATTGCGGTATAGAAAATTACGACTGGACGAGGCTGTGCAAATTACGGAAGTTGGTAATGCGTTGATCCGCATCGCGTATTATCCATGGTAGATTACACGAAAGGATAAAAGACGCGTATTTACCTAACGTTAATTATCCGTTTTTCAGTCGGACGCGAATGCGTCAATAGAAAGACTGGGGACAAAGTGCGTCCCTACGACAGAAAAATATTTAATTGCACAGCAGCAAACGCGGACTCGCGCTTCCATGTGAAACGTCGTAACGCGGTTAAGAACTTTACAATAAACTCCGGCGCCCGCGTCTGGCAATCAAACTAAAAGGCAAAAATGCTGGCCTATGGCCGAGAAGCGGATACGAAATCCCATCCGTTGCATTAGCCAGATTGCTGAAAATTAAGGTCACCTTTTTTTTTATCATGCTCGCTCGCGTCGGATACTACAAGCTTATACTACTTTTATCCACTATCCGAACTTACTTGGTCATCGACTGACAACTTGACTTATCAAGGTTTATTATTCCAGGGAGAAGTGTTATCGTTGCATAGTTATGCACGAGAAACATCGCAACGTACTGCAGTACAAGGAGAGTAAGTATGACTTTTTATTTGACCGGTCATTTTTATCGGCTTCTTCTTTTTTAACTTTCTTTCCTCAAATTTATATCTTCACTCTTTCAGCTTATTGCCTGTCCGATCGACCGAATCCGAAGGAACTTTGCAGCGAGCTGGCAGGGGATGCTGCGCTCTTCTCTTTGTTTCGCGTCGGTGCGCCACCCACTTCGTGTCCTTTCAAAGGGCCCTTGGAATTCACGTATGTTCGAGGCGACCACGAGTGTCGAACTCCTGCATCCTCGGCAGAAACTTGCACCCAAGAATCTCGTCTGCTGTTACGTTATCAGGCCTGTGCCGATGTGCCATCTACAGAGAGTACGCGTAAGTAGAGAATTTATCGAAGATCTGTCACTTCTTAAATGTTTCTTTATCGACGTGGAATTTAGTTGAACGGACTGATCGATTAGGATTAAAAAGTTGCGAAAAATTTTGCTTACATTTTTTTTCAATTTTGATCGTGATACAAAAGTATTGATTTCGTGTGAAAGTGCCAAGTGCAACGTTTCAGTACGTTTTATATACAAACGTCGAGAACTTTTTAGGAAATTATGTAGTTTATCCTCTTTCACGCGATTACGGTCCAGTGAGGGAGAAAGAGGGAGAGAGAGTAAGAGAGAGTGGTTAGTCCCTGCGAAAGGGGAACCTAAAAGCGGACGAAGATCGAAGCGGCGTCTCTCGTAAATACTCGGACAATTAAGTGACGTTGGGCCGTTGCATTATCAAGCGCATTATCAAACGTTATTAAATACGGATGATCGTATTAATTAACGGTAGATGCAAGAACGGTAATTGTCAATAAAGCGGAACGGTATAATGAATGATTAATGGCTTTGTCAATTATCCTTCGTAGCTTGTGCAAACAATTTTGTCCAATTATCATCGATGCGCATTACGCGGCATATTATCAGGATAAATTTGCCTATGCTAATCGCGGTTACACGCTTTAATTAATTTTCATATTTTTCCCACTTTTGTACCTGCACATCGATTGCTCATCTCCGACGTTCGATTATTATTTTAAAAAACTTTTTGGCAAATTGCGTAACAGGAGCTTTTAAGCTTCCTTTCTATAACTGTCTTTCTCGCTGTGCGCAGAAGTGGAATTGGAATGTCTTGCGGCTTGGAGGGAGGGCAGCACGCAGTATCTCGTTGCTCGTCTACACAGTGAACGAATTGACAACGATGAAAATCGCTACAGGTGTTTCATTTACGCCAAAAAGACTGCGGACACGTGGACTCTCTCTCAGAGTGGTGACGCAACCTGCAATGGACTAACCGGCGTGAACGACGGCGCAAAAATTTTAACGATGCGACAAAGTAAGTTTTTTCCTTCATCTGTTGCAACGTTGCGAAAGAATGAGTTTGCCAAAATAATTGTCGAAAGCGCAAATATTGCGTTTGGGTGTATTCAATTTTTCATCTTCTCTCACGCGTATTTCGGCATTTCCTCAATGCCTCGAAGGAAACGAATTTTCCTCGCGGAATCCCAACGAAAAGGCAGCGGCATCGTTTGGATTTAACAAACTGATAAGGAATTTTTGTCTGAAATGCAGAAGCATTCCTCAGCTTCTGACTTTAGATTGATATTTATTTAGGAATGAGAGTGAGCGTCACTCCGACTTCACTTTGAGGGGTGGAACGACCCCCCCCCTCCCCCCTTCGTGCGCGAGGATGTACCTCCTCGTAGAGATGTCTCTCAGGAACTTTGGAGATCTGATTGGTCAATTATCTTGCATGACCTCACTTTCGACAAGCAGAGCGTAAAAGCTCCACTCATTTCCGCTTCCTGAATTCTGCACTTCCGCCGCATCGAAATACTTTCAATCTTTGCGATTCACATTTTTTCCAAATATGATTTACACTGTATGTCTTGACTTCATCCTCAATGCGCACTGTTATCTTCCGTAAGAACGACGACTTGAATGACTTGAATGAAAACTTATTTTTGAATCTGTTATAACCCAGTGACATTTTCAATAAAATTATTTGGAGTTCATTAATTTTTCAATCCCTTCAAGAATACTCTTTGAAAATATATTTTTGATACACGTTAGAGGGATATATCCCCCTACAGACGGCTACATGATTTTAAGTCCTTTATCGTCCAAAAGCTCTACCAACACTTTTCAAAGGGAGTTGCGAGTCATTTTCAAAATCTGCCGTGACTATATCTACAATGCAAATGCCCGAGTCACTATTCTAATTGGAATTTCAACTAAGCCAATTATTAACCGTGCCGACAACATAACGTTTATCTCCTCAAACGGATTATGCTATAGGGACAGCAAACACGAGTGCCGAGAACAACCCAGTTGAAAATTGAATTGTTCTCCACTAAAGTCCACCGGCAATTCCTTGAAAATTGTGCAACATTCTTCAAGCAAATAGTTCCTATTACCTCTTCCTCCGTCCTCCAATACAATTACGTTGCACACTGCCGAATGAAAATTCATCTGCGCGGTACAGCGAATGCCTAGATTATCGATCCCGGACGCAACTCCTGACGCAAGATATCATCGTCATAGCCTACCAAGGAACAACCTAAGCCTGTAATTTACCTTCGTATATTCCGGGAATCCGTTACGTACGCTTTCGCAAGATAAAATCTCGCACCCACCTTCCCCGACTAAGTTACAAGCTACAAAGGGGGATGGAGGAAGAGGCAAAGATGGAATAAAATCTCTGTGGAAATCCGTTTTGAAATCGGCGCACCTCGCTGGCTATTTAGCCAGAGGCAAGAAACTCGTTAGCTCGTCTATAGGTATAAAGCCCAGGCGTTAACTTGCCAGGATCCCGTTAACGCCAAGAAGAAAGCTTCGCGAGAGTTTCATCTTCTGGAATTTCGCGAATCTCTTATAGTCTGTGCGTCTTCCAACCAGAGACAGTCGTACGTACCATCATTCCTGTCAGAACCATCGCGTTTTCTCTTTCCCTCTTCTCACAGAGAATTCATATCCTCTTACGTCAGCTAAAGTCACCCCTATGTCAAATTAGCCCTTGAGCGACGCTGGGCTAACCATCAAATAGAGCACATACGCCTCCGGCGTGTGAACAATCGCAAGAAATTTCGGAACTTACTG